CCGCTCCGCGCTCAGCACCTCGGGCAGCTTCTCGCTGGAAGGCAGAGAGAGAAGTGTCAGAGCCCTGGGGCGGACAGAAGAGCCCCCGCCTCTGACTGCCCCGGGGCTGCGACCGACAGGGCCCCCCTGCAGGCCTCGGCACAGCCCTCTGCTCAGCCCTCAGGTGCCTGGACCTCTGCAATGAAGCCACGCGTGTCTGGAGGCAGGGAGCGGGCAGGGCCGGCAGCAGCTGGCTTGGAAGAGTGCAAGAGCAGGCCTTAGCCAGCAAGCTGCTCCTCCCCACCTCTGGATTTCTCTGTTGCATTACATAGCAGATAATCTTCCACCAGGCAGGACATAAACACGGAGCATTTGGGTTTCTGCCTGTAATCCTGCTCTGGAAATTATTAACCCAACGGAGCAGGACAGACCCACTCTGATGGACTGCTCAAGTTGATTGCTCTCCAGTGACTGGAGACCCCAGTGCTTTCTGCACAGTTGTAGCTCTTCTCAGAGCTAGGGAACACCCTCCTGGCAGCACAGCCCGTGGAGGTCTTAGCAGGTAATGTGGAGCTGCAGGCAGGAAGGGACTGAGGGAAACTCATGTTCACAACTCTCCTACAGGCCTTACTGGGTCCAGAGCCTTGACTTCTGTGTCATTTAAGGCAACCCATCACACCTTTCATGGGGGTACCCGAGCCCACCCCCCGCCAGGATGACCCTGACCTGTTGAACGTGGCGTGGCTGGTGAAGCGAGCCCCACAGACTGCACAGTTTGACAGCTGGTCCTCTGAGTGGATGAGGAGATGTCGCCCAAGGGATCCGGGTGAGCTGAGGGCTCTGCCACACACAGGACACATGTAGCTCTTGGCATTCACCACGGCTGCAGTGTGCTGCAAAACAGGTTGCTAGTTACAAAGTGCCCAGCTCCACTTCCAGCCTGGGGCACCTCAACAGATCCAGCAAACCGTTCAGTTCAGCCTCTTGGAATGGGAACACTTAACCACTGAACTGCTGTCTGACAGCTCCTAGAGCAAGCTCAAGACATCTGGGGTGTCACAGGTCAAACAGCAAAGAGGAAGCCTTCCTACAGCTCCACTCCAGTGCAAGAGAAACAACTGAAAGCCACATCACTTGGATGTGTTTTCAGAAGAGCAGTGAGGAGCTGCTGTGGCTGGGCAGAGCACAACTGGACTGGCAGAAGGCAGGATGCTGGTGAGGAAGGGCTTAGATGGAGACAGTCAGCCAGCCAGTGCAAGTAAGTGGCCAATTCAGTTCTGCTTCATTCCTTCTTTTACAGAGAGATGTGAAGAGAGTACTGACAACAAAACCTGTGAGATTCCAGCACAGATTTCCTGCAGTACTGGAATAATTTCAGAGGAAGAATAGCTCTTTTAATGGATAGGAACTGTGATAAAGGTCCAAGATAAATAACTGAGTGATTAGGAGAAGAGGAGGGTTTCTTATCTTACTGAATGATGCAAAATCCATATTTAATCTGGAGGAACTGCCTGGTCTTAGCCTGCAACTGCTTGTGGGGAGTGCCTGGGGATAAGAGTTATGTTTCCCAGATCTGCAGGGCCATGCCTTGCTGATTGTCTCCCCAGGACATCATCTGGACACAGTTTATTTACTGTTGTAAACTTCAGTCATGTGCTGGCTAGAAACTCAGTTCTGTGACTGCAAAGAGCAGAACAAAACCACCCTGTGCTTTGCGTTGTTTCTAGATTTGGGGCTTGAGAGGGTTAAAGCCAGAGCTATCAGACAGTTTGGAGCCATCGCCTACCTGGTACACGTGGGCAATGACCTGCTCTCTGGTTCCACACTCCAGCTGGCAGAGGGGGCACTGTGACAGTCCCAGCAGTGGGTCAGCATTCAAACTCTCAGGGACCTACAAGGAGGAAAAGCCACTTTGTGTAAAGCACAGAGACCCCTCAGGCATCCCCCTCCCCTGGTGTCTGGTCAGCAGTGCACACAGGCCACGACCAGATCCAGAGCCATGTGCCCAGTCCTGCAGGGGCTGCTTTGTGTCCTCACAGTCAAAAACTCCCTTTAGGCAGCCCTGGAGCAAAAAGTCCTGATGTCTCAGGGAGAGGAGGCAGAGGCCTCATGACCTTCCTCACACCCCAGCTCTCTGGCAGGCAAGGGCTGCTCTGTAGGAAGAAGGAACGGGGTCAGTCAGAAAGGCACGAGAACTGAAGGGACACCCTGCACAACCACCTTGTCCAGCTGTAAGAATGGCAGTTTGTGCCTGCTGTCTCCTGTTCCTGGCAGCCCAAGAGCTCTTCATACCCTTTCTTCCTGGCATGAGACATTTGGAGGAGGTGGGAGGGAGAAAAAGATGAAGCCATGGTGGGGAGAGGAGGCGCTTAGACAGTAAGTACCCTTCTCCCTCCATGGGAGGACAGGGTGAGTGCAGAGCCAGTACACACTTGCCTCATTCTCTCTCCTCAGGGGGGCTCCAGCCGCAGGCTGTTCTGCATTCTCCAGTTCTTTTTTCACTTTCACCATTGAGCCATCCTCCTCAGATGTATGAGAAGAAACTTCATCCTGGGTGGTTTCCTCATCTTCACTGCCACCTGGAAAGTGCAGAGCAGTTATTCCAAGTGTCAGGACTTGGAGGGCACACACAGACCTTAACTGTCCTGGGGCCTCTGCCCACCACCTCTGACCAGGGGCTCAATTTCAGCTCAGGCTGGGGCCCTCCAGGGACTGAAGTGCTCTGTAGGGTCCCTGGACCTGGCCAGTCACCTTGCCTTGCTTGAGTCACTGGGCCATCAGTGGGCACCCCTGCTGTTGTCACCCTGCCCTGGTAAGTTGGGACTGCAGCCCAGTGGTGGGGTGGTTGCCCAGTCTGTGCTGTGGTGGCCCTTGGCTCTGGGCTTGCCTTCCCCCAGGGAGCAGCCCTGCCCTTGCCCTTTGTTCATACCAAGCCTGGCACAGGAGCCAAGGGCTAACCCAGAGGAGGAGATGGGTAAGATGGTCCTGGGTAGACACCCACAAGCTGTGCAGCACCTCACCCCTTGACAGAGTCTCCCCAGTCCACTACCTTGCCATTATTGGAAGGGGCAGAACTCACTGCTGCTGGAGTCAGGGTCTTGCAGCGGAGGAATGGCTGGCCTTTGGTTCCCAAGAGCTCCAGGGAAGTTGGTTTTCATCATGGCTTGGCGGGCTTGTTCCTCCAGCCCTGCAAAGACTTCCTCCCCTGGCAGCCACAAGGACAAAGAGTCAGACTGGTGCCATTCCATTGTTCTCACCACCAAGGCTTGCCAAACACCCAACTGGTGTGGGGCTGCTCACCTGCACCCTGCAGTACCTCTGAGCTCAGCTCTCAGAAGGTGTTTAAGTACCCACATATCTGCTACAAGTAGCCAGGTGGCTGTCTCTGCTACCAAGATATCTGCCAGCAGAGCCACAGCACAGCTCTGGGTGGAGGGGAGGCCACTGAGGAACTGTGACAGTATCCCAGAGCAGGCATCGTGCTCTAGGGCTCTTCTAAATCACTAAGTCCTATTCCCTGCTATAACAGGCAACTTGCACAAAACTAACACCTCCCCAGGTGCCTGGCACTTCAACTGCTCTCCACAGTGATGCAAAAACCAAGGTTTGTCCTTGGCATGCTCTGTCACCACCTTCTGTCCCAAGAGGACTGAGGACAACCTGCTCATAAGAAGGTGCCTGTGGTCAGAGCTGATGCTCTCCCGCTTACGTGACAAATAACTGGCTTTGCTGCTGAAGAAGTGAGCTGAGAAGCTCGTAGAGGAGAGCTCACAGCCTGGCCTACTGAAAGACACGGGTCACTAGCACCTCAACTCAGTAGAAGGCAAACACACTGAAAGAAGGCAATTATCTGTGCTTGTCTGAAAGAAAACTCCTCACAGCAGTCCCTGCTGAGAAGAACCTTGGGTTCCAAGGAATAACAATAAAGGGCAAACATTAATTTTCATATTAAATCAAACTAATTACTTTATTCCAGATATAATCATGTCTTGCCTCTCTCAGTTAAAGAGCTGGGAGCACTTGGAACAAGGTGCTGAAGTTCCCAGCAGGCTAGCTTTTGGATTCAATATATCAACTGATTTGTAAATTCTCAAGAGCCACTCAAAGGATAAATGCAAAAATGCTCAGGAAGATGCAGTGCATTTCTCACATAAAACAAAAGATTTCAGAACAAAATTGTACCTTTTAGAATAAGGCCACAACTGGCATCAGTATAACTAGGGGACTGAATTCTCAACCTGTTGAGAGGGCACCAGTCCTGTTAGAAGGACAGGTCCATTCCCACATGTTACACCTTCCAGCCACCTTGATCCCACATTCTCACCCACACTGCCTTTCTGGTGCTTGCCTTGCAATTTCTGGCAGTGCTTTAAAAAGCAGGAATTTATGTAAGATTTCAAAGACCTTCTGAAGTTTCATGGACAGTGTGGGAGAGTTTTAGTTCCCAATATCCCCACAGAGGTTTCCTAAAGCATCTGAAGGTATTTATCATTGTTTCAGAAACATGAGGTTTCTGTAGAGAAGCCTTCAGAACTCAATCCAGGCCAAGAAGGGTTGCTGAGGAACCCTCTAAATCTACTGTCACTGAAAGCAGCAGATGCCATCATGACTGCCAGTACACGTGTACCCCCCATCAGAATGGTTTTCATGACCTGAAATACTGCTTTTATGTCTGGACCACAACCTGACATTGGTGAGGAACTAAGAGCAAACACTGCAGAATCACAGTGCCTCTCCAAGAAGCAGAGGAAAAAGCCGAGACCAGAAAAGTCTTGCAAGAAAACAAAGCGTGGTGAAATGAGGAAACCTGCAGAAGATGGGGCAGATGTAAAACTGCTGTTGGAGATGTGCTACCTGTGACTGTTAGAGAACAGGACTGCCAAACACCCCTGCACCTGCTGGTGGAAGCACCAAGGTGTTTTGTTTTCTCCCCTCTCCCCTTCCAGACGGCTACATTTCCACTGAGCAGCAGCCTGAGGGCAGGCAGGTTACTGCTCAGATACACAGACCATGCACAGTCTGCAGGATCTTAAGGGCTGAGACCTTCCTATGAGATGACGGGAAGTGTCTGGTTCAACTGCTGATGTACTAAGTCCTACTTTGATGAAGCTTCAGAGCTTCCATATTTGATAGGCACATGGTTATACTTTTATTGTTTCTGAACACACAAGCTCGCATATAGACACCCCCACACCACTGACATTGGCTTGGAAAGAGTCAGGAAGACAACAGCTTCAGGACCACTGCTGTCAGCAAGGGATGTTATGCTCGATATTGAACTCACAGACTCTTCTCCAGAAGTTTTTTTATTAAATACAAAAAGGGCTGCAGGCTGACCACAACACTAAAATGAGTCACTGTGTTTTACAATCAGCTAGATATGAAGGACAGTGAAAGATCATACAAATGCCTCTGCTTTTCATTCCAGTTCTCCTCTCCATAATCTTGTACATGAGTGGGATGCCAGGTGAGCAGCTGTGGAGGTGAGGGACAGCCCTGTGGGACTGGGCACCAGGGGCAGTTATGACTGCTAGGATCTGGTGGTCTATCAACTTGGTAGCCAGAAAGGATTTTTTTCCTGAGCCCTCCCCTTCTTGAACTGTGTGAATGCAGGGTAACTCTCAAGTGTTCTGGAAAATAAACACAGAAAAAAAAAACCAAAAACAACCCCCAGATCCCCAAAACAAAATCAAAAGAAACTGCATTATTCCCCTGTCTTCCTTCCTAAAGAGAAAAGTCAGAGAGAAGCCAATTCATTCCCTCCTTGTACATCAACCCAAAATCCCTGTCCATGTAGGTCTTCTCTGTGATCCTTTCCTGGACCTGAATTTTGCAAGTCTTTCCACCACTGTGGATCTAGTCCACCTGCCCCATGGCTATTCTGGGTTGTCCAGACTGCTGTAGTGGTTACTGAAATGAAAAACACAATTGAAAGAGTTAACAACACAGCCCACAGAGCCCCCTAAGAACCAAGACTTTGATGCAAGTAACATTTCAGTTTGGCTTTGAATGCTGGGTGTGATTTCTTGCAAGACACTTTCTCTTCAAACTGGGAATTACACAGACCAGAATTCAAGGAACACTGAAGAGCAGAGAATGTCTATGTGTCAGAGGGAGAGAGAAGGAAGTGGAGAATTAATGGGATATTGGGACAGGGACAAATACAGCTAAGAAGTGGGAATTAATTTGACTAACAGAAGCTGCTCCCAAGAGTTCTAGAATCAGCATCACTTGCAAAGGGTATGAGCAACACAAAGAAAAGCAGCTCAGGACAGCAGGGAGAGAAAGGAAGAGTGCAGGCCAACATCTGTGGGGAATTTTGTCAAGCACAAGAACAGTGAGGAGCCTGTAACTGAGGGAAGGACAGGGCAGCTGTGGAGGGGCTCAAATGCAAGAGCAGATGAATTGTTTAGAGAAATTTTATGCTTTTATACTTTGGAGTCTGGGCGAAAATAAAGACCAGGCTGAACCAGTTAAGGTTTCTCCACAGGAACAATGTGACTATGTTGTATTTTTCAGCTTGATCAGGAGCAATCACTGTAAGAAGTGTTTTCCAGTATCACAGTTTTATTTGTTACTGCTTAGGCAGGTGTGTTTTTCATGGACCTTGTGGCAAAACAACATTGAATTATTAGGAGCCGATTATGTGCTGCAGCCCTGCCAAAGGGGAAATGGCTACAATTAAAACTGTAGGACTGGCCATCATGCAGAATTAAAACTTTTTGGGATAGTAGTAAATTTCATCATTGCTTCTGTATTATTATGAATTTCCTTACACATCAACTTCCATTTAAAACTGTTTCAACTTGTAACAAGACAACTTCCCAGCTGGTAGCTCTGCATGCCAAAGAGATTCTGTGCTAGGTGAGGACAGCAAACATGTTGTTGTGAAAGCAAGGTTAGATGAGGGCCATGCCAAGCCTGGAAAGTAACCCTGGAAAGAGGTGGCACCAAGCAAGCCAGGGAGAGGAGATCTGCAGCTGTTGCTTTCCCTAGTCAATCCAAGAAGGAAGATAACATGGAGTGGCCATGCAAAAAAGAAGTGGGCATTGTCCACCCACAGATTTGTCCAGTTAGATATTCACAGTGGTATTTATGCAAATCCAAAAAGCACTTCCCCAGCCCCACAGCCTGCCAAATCAGACCCCAGCGGCAGACAACTGTGTAAAAAGCTGCATACCTGCTGTCCCTTTTATTCCTCTCATCCCAACCACTTCAGTCCCTGTGAAGAAGTCTCAGAAACGTGTCTGCTATGTCTGCTATGACTCCTCATTCTGCTGGTTCCCCCAGTCCTTGGAGCTGATGCTCTCTCCGATTATCCTCGTCAGTGCACTGCATGGCATTTCTGGGCCCTCCAGATACACAGCAGGCTGGGTAGACAGAGAAGTCCCAACGATTTGGTGGTGTTCATCATAAGACAGACAAGATTTTCCATCCCAAGGTGGAGAAAGCACCACTGACATGTTTCTTTTATCTTTTAGTCCCTTTGTTTTCTTGTGGTCCTACTTGCTGCTCCTGATGGCTCCTGTTGAACAGCTGCTCTGCAGCAATGTACCACGTGCCAAGGTGGTGAGCAGGTCCCAGAATTCCTCTATGGCACACCTGATGCCATAACCTCAACCTCAAGCCCGCTGGTAGCATGTTTGTCAAACAGTTTCCCCTGACACCAAAACTGGAGATACAATCACTTATATTGCAGATTCAATGTTCACTGTGAAAATAGTGCACAACTGAAATCCACAACATGCACAGTTTTGCATATGATAGTACAAGCTTCTGCAGAACGTAACCCTCAGGCAGTTGAGTGCAGGAAACAGCCCATCTAAACACCATGGAAACCACCTGCAGCACTGGAGCTGCTGTGTCCCTGGCTCTCAGCCACGAGAGACCCTGGCTCTGCACCAGGAGACAGCATGGGTGCCTGCCCTGGGGGAGACTGGCTTAAATGGCAGCAGAAATAGCTGGGCACTCTGAGAAGCAAATGTGTGTGGGCACAAGATTATGAGCATCACAGGACAAAACACAGGACACGTCAAATTTCTGAAGGGAAGACAATTCCAACATGACTAAAGTACTGCCAGGTGAATCCAAGCTCTGCTCTGTCTTCTGCTGAGCCCAGAAGCAGGAACTGGAGAGCACAAGACAGGGCAGGTGCCAAAAGTCTCAGGACTGCGACACTGGCCACCACGGGAGGCTCTGCCAGCCCCCCACACCCAGCTCCAGCAACCATGGGCCTTTCAAGGCCCAGACAGAGGCAGTTCTCCCCAGTGCAGCCCCAAGTGTGCAGTGTTAGGCTGCCTCACCAGGTGTTTTCCCCTTGCACAGAGCACAGTGTGCACCTTTCCCATTGCTGAACCCACACAAAAAGGCAGTACAGAGAACACAGGCATGCAGGCCAGCAGCATTAGCAAGGTGAGGCAGTGTTAGGGCTGCAGCTCTGTCCCCTGCTCCTGACAGCTACTCCAGCACAGCAGGACCTACAGCCCTCTCATCAGCCTTCCTTTCACACATCTACAGAACTGGAAATTTGTTTTCCTCATTTCATCCCAAATCCGTCTCCAGCCACAAAGCTGGGTACGTACAAGGGCATAGCTTCAGTCCCCCCAACTTCCCTCTGCTGCTATCACTCAAACAAAAGCTGTGTATGTGCATTTTTACCTTTGCAGCCAAACATCCATACTTATCTCCCAGCTTCACCAACATCTCACTGTAGTCTGCCCACTAGAAGTGCTGAGGTACAGCATCTTCAGCCCTTTCACTCTCAAACAAACTCCAGTGTCTTGACAACACTGGAGAAAGAGATCTATCCTATGGGCTCAGCTCAAGAAAGATCTGACAGGTAAATTCTACCTGTCCAGTGAATTACTGAGCCATTGCCCGTTCCCTGCAAGGGAAGAGCACATGGCTTTACTTACAGTATCTGGTAGGAAAGTGAGGTACAGTGAGCTTAAGTAACATGTCCTAGGTCAGTCAGTTGAGTCTGTGGTAGAGCAAAGATCAGAACCCAGGACCTCCTGGCTTTCAGCCATACACTCAAACCACCTCACCTGGAACTTCCTTTGCTACCCAGGACAGGCCAGAGCAAGTACACTCGCAGTTGTCACAGTGTGAACGCAAAGCACAGCTACAAGCCCTGCATATACACATCCACATTCACAGCATTAGTTGTTCATTCAAGCCTACCCCTGTCCTGCCATGCCAGGACACAGCCAGCTCCCCTGATACACAGAGCTCAGTTCCCTTCTCACAGTTCCTAAGACAAAACCTGAGCAACCACCATTCCCCACAAGCGGTACCTTTTCATCACTCCACTCCTCCCCACCTAACTCCACAGCAACCCAGCAAGGGCAAGGATCCCACAGTGCTGTGTCACAGAATACTCACAGTGAACTTTGTTAGGAGTGGTCTGTTTCCGACGGGACATGTTTCCCTGACCTGGGAGCACAGTGTTTGTTCCCTCCGCAAAGGGCTCACCTGAGAAGAGAAGAGCCTGTCACACACCACTGGGACCTCCTGGGCCTCTAGCCAAACGCAGCTGGCTGCCTCAGGGACATTCCCACCCTCCTGCATCACCACAGCCGCATTCAGTGCCAGCACCCGACAGGATCCACAGGCATGTCACAAATGGACACACCACAGACGAGCAGGCCCACCCAGCTTTTGAGCAAAGTCACAGGCAGCACACAGAACGTGAGGAGTGTCCTGCTGTGAGAGTGACTCCGACCTCAGCCCAAACATCCTTCTCCCTCCTGCTCATTCCCACAGCCGACGGGGCAAGAGCCTACTCAGACCTGCGGCCCTGCCCTGGCTCTACCCCCGTGCAGAGGGAAGCAGAGGGGCACGAGGCCCTGCCATGCCCTGATGGCTGCACCAGGCACGGGCAGAGCAGGGAACTGGCTGCCCAGCCCGACATGGCGGCAGCAGCTGGTGGGACAGGAGGGCAGCCCCGGGACAGGGAGAGACCTCACCACCCTTCCAGCCCCACAGCCCCCCCGCTGCCAGGACCAGGGACACGAGGAGGGACCCCTGGCATTGCACCTCGCACGGGAGGGACCCCAACACCGCTCCCTGCCCCCCGCGGGTGGGACACACTGACCCCCCAGCTGCACAGGGGGAAACAGCGACTGGTCACCCTCAGAGCGGCACAGGAAGGAACGGTCCCCGCGGACAGACAGACAAAAGGAGGCGCTAAACCCACGTCCTCCCCAGACAGATGGACACGGGGATCCTGTCCCCCCCACCGACGGGCACCAGGACCCTGTCACCCTCGGACGGA